ATGTTAGTGCTTGGAAAACACTTTACAAACCTTAGAAAGTTCTGTAAACATGTTGCTATTTATTAAAACTATTTATAAAAGATAAATTAAAAGGGGCAGCAAACATTTGGGAAATGTAGTTTCAAGGTTCTGCCTCTCTGTGCAATAGAATACATATGTGTGTACATACATACATACACATAATATGCATGTACACATATATACATGTACACACACACATGGATTTTAAAGGACACTTTTGCTGAAACCAAACAAAGTTTCAGATCTTCAGAATCATTCTCTGGGCCCACTGGGGAACAAGTTTATTAATCTTTAAATTAAGCAAGTTTGGAGAATTAGTGAAATTATGACCAAAAAATGACAAAAATTATAAAGTTTTGAAGACTTGGAGAAAACATCAACAGTTGAGGCTTAGAAGAAAATAAATCCCTAGATGTACTGATGCATAGATAGTTACCTTGAAGGCATATGGAGGATTCCATATTGCCTTGGGGGGATGGGGAAGCATGAATGTCAACTTTGCAGTAGCTACTTCACTGACAGTGATTTAATCTATTTAATAACTCATGTTGATACTTTCAGGTTTACGAAGCACTTTCCCCACAATAACCAGTACAAGCACCATTACAATGCCCCATTTTACAAATGAGGAATCTAAGGTTGAGAGAGGTCGCAAGATTTGTCCTCTGCAGGATTTTAACACATATTTCCCAAGTCCAAGTCTAACACCCTCATCTGTTAATAGAGGGAATGTGCTAGAACATGCTGGTTTACATTTTTTTAAAAACCTAGTTATTTTTGGTGAAAAAAAATTTGATTCACTATTTTAAAATTTCAGAAAATATATTTCAACGACTCCTACTTCCCAAGTGCAATACATAATCAAACCCAGTGTAGACAGAATGACTAGTAATTATAACTTTTCCACCTTAAACATCAGAGCCTGGCCCAGAATTAAATTTATTTTTAACACAGCAAGCATGTTTCATGTATACAATAATAAATTCTAAAATTTTACTGCTTAAGTGATTACAGAAACATGAAAGATGTACTAAAAAGTATTGCCCAAGGAGGCTTCTAACAAGGTAGGTTTTTCAGTGTTCATTTCACTTACTAAAGAGGAAGATAGAAATAGTTTTTCATTATGCCTGAATTTAACATTGTGACTGTAGACATGTAGAAGTGTAAAATTATGTTACATATTTGTTTAGAGTAATATGCAAAAATCCTCACAAAATTACTTGGACTTTAAAAGTCTTATCTGTGGTTTCTTTTGAATTTAATAATTTTTAAAAAATAAACACAGGTAATTTGGATTTTGTGGAGTTATAAGCTTATTCAAAAGTAAACTTAGGTCATCCTCACTAGGATAATAATATCCACCTCAACTAGCTTCTCATCTGTTTTAGTTTCACATATGTTCAAGTGGTAGGATAACATGAAACAGAAAATCATGATTATCTTGTGTTCTGTAGCTTGTCTTTGGGGCACCATGAATAGGGGCTGTCTCAGCAAGTTATGATCAGTCATGTGACATTTAATTTAGTGTGCTTGTAAAAACACATCCTAGGTGACTGCTTACCTGTTTGGACCCCTCACAACTGCACATTTTCCTTCACATATGTTTGTAGTCAATCATTAGGATTCCAGAAAGGTGGAAGATAACATAAAATACACAGAGAAATAAAGAATTTTTCAGCTTCTCAGTGATCCCAAATAAAGCTATTAAATAAAGTTCACCATTCCTTGGAATGTGATGTGTTCATCATCCTGGATCCTTTTTTTGAGGGAAATTAGAGGGAGTCAAGGTTGACATAGTCATATGAATTCTCCTGTTTGGGAGCATTGAATCTTTTTGTTCTGAAACCTTGTTATAATGCTTGCTTGTTGAGGGAGAAGGTTGGGGATTCATAACCATTTTATAATTATTAAGTTTAGGCAGAACTTGTATCATTTAGTACAGTGAATTAAATTGTCCAACATTAATTGAAACCATAGTGAATCATTAAGTCATATTTTAGGATAAGCATACAATACCCTTTATTTCAAAGTGATAGTTTAAATGTGTGTTCTGTTGTCTTCTCTAATCTTGTTTTCTATGATAAATGTAAGAATTTTTTTTAAAAAGTATATTGTTTTAAGACATGTGTTATTTAATATATAAAAATTAGAATAAAGGAAAATGTGTTCACAAATTTTATCATGAAGTTTATATTATACTATATGTTTGGTTTTTTAATCAATACCATTTTTATTTTGCTAAAATAATTTTTTCTTTACCTAGTAATGAATGAATAAAGCCATAGTTTAATTATCCTTTCTACCTCACTTGAAATAAATGTTAATTATGGTTTTAAAATATATCCTACTTAAACCACTATAGTTTAAATAAGTAAAAATTAAGGAACATGATTTATTATATGAAAACTTTTAAAAATAGGAAATAATTGATGAAGTAAGCAGATTCTCAAAATTTATTCTAGATTTGTGATTCTAATTTTGTGTAATATAGTTGATAACATTTGGCATATTATTTTCACATTTTTAATGTTTAATTAATGGTGGCATGGAAAAATTTTATTTTGGTAGGGCCAATTTTATTCATAACATTTAAATATTGGCTCACGTTATTTTTTAAACAATTACATAGGGACAAAAAGAGATATAGTCACTTCATGGTTTAGAGAATTACAAATACATTCTAGTGGTAAAAAGTGGTGGTATCAGTAGCATGTATAGTAGATACCAAAGAAAAGTGTAAAGTTTGAGGAAAGTTTTGAGTGCATTATACACTCCTAGGGGTTAAAGATTCTGTTGTTTGCCTGTTGAAATAAATTATTAGGCCAAGCATATATAATTTTATCGTTGTGGAGAACCACAAAGAGTTCTACTTCTTTTGGGAACCCTTAAATAATTACAACCAGCTCATGACTTAGTTGATAAGCCTTGGGCATTTGCTTGGTCCCATAGGGCATAAGTGACTTACTCAGAGTCACAGCACTAGTAGGTTCCAGAGGTGAGATTTGAACCAGTTTTTCTGTCTTCCAGCCCAGCATTTTATGTCCTCTACTTGCTTAATTTGCCTTGTGATTTTTATTTTTTCTAATGGGATATTTATGAAGAAGAAGATTAATAAAGATGGCTGAAAGGGATAGATTTTCTAGTCACCCCTGTGCCTTTTCTTGGGTTAGATACAGAGGTGGGGAACCTGTGGCCTTGAGACCACATGTGGCCCTCTAGGTCCTTAAGTGTGGCTCTTTGACTGAATCCAAACTTCATTTCCAAGCTGTGAACTTTGGACCCTCTAGGTCCTCAAGTGCAGCCCTTTGACTGAATCCAAAGTTCACAGTTTGGAAATGAAGTTTGGATTCAGTCAAAGGGCCACACTTGAGGACCTAGAGGGCCACATATGGCCTCAAGGCCACAGGTTCCCCACCCCTGGAATGTTCTCTGAGAGGCAAAGGGGTATAATTTTGTCAACTTAACTAGAATTATTTTGATACTTTGGAGGGGGGAAAAAGTACCAGAAAGTACCCAACTAAGTAAATCTTCTGATCTTCCTTTGCCTTCAAAATTCTACTGCCCCCCCCAAAAGAATCAAATAGCTTATTGTTCTTTTTGTAAGCACAACATTTTTGAATATAATTACACCATTCTGAGTGTAATGTAAATGTGAGACTAGATCCTGAAAATTTTTGAGTAGCTAATAAATTTTAACTTCTTACATGAGACATCTGTTTTGTTAAATACAAAACTTTAAGAAAATACCCCCAAATTAAAATAATAAATTAACTACATCAGAAGATAAAAATTCTAGCAACAGCAAAATTCTTATAAAAATTATTTCAACACAGGAAATAGTCCATGAAGTGTTTCAGATACAGGCAAGAATTGCCTTGTGGAAGACTGGAGTTTGTACTTTTGTGTGCAAGTTCTCTTCTTAGCTTTCACCATAGATGAACCAAGGGAGGCTCCTACTCTTTTTTCCCCCCTTCTTTCATTCCATGACCTTCACATTCCTGTTTTATCAATCAGTTTCCCTCACTGGCCCATAGAATTCTTTGTGCCTATTCTCACAGCCCTTCAAAGAAGGTTCAGGACCAACATGAATTTGAACAATGGCTGACAGAAGGGTCCCCTACTGTGGGTAGAATCATTGACAAATGACTGATAAAATCCTTTTCAAGAGAAAGGATGGTGGTAGGAAGAATTTGAGGTCAGAACGCTTCTAGACAGTTCTTGTCCAGGGCATCACTGGTAAGTGATGATGGGTGGCAGCGGTAATGACCACTGAGGTTCAGAATATATTATGAATTGCCTAGTAGTCCCCTTAAATGTGACAGTATGCATTTTAATAGGGATTAGTATAACTGTTCAAAATAAAATAATCCTTTGGTTGTTGAAAATCTTAATGACATTTATGTGTGTATTTTCTACTTTGTTCTTAAAAGAATAGTTATTCACTGTAGTAAGACTAGATACAGGAGTGGGGTTTTTTAAAAAATTTTAAAAAGGGAATGTCCATTTTATGAACCCAGGCAAATAGAGGATAGCAACCCACTGAGATCATTTAACAAATTTTATTAATCAAGGCCAGGATGCCAACACTCAGAGATAATGTAGTCATGGAACTATCCCTTATGCTCAGAAGCAACTTTAAAAAATCATGGGTGTGCCTGCTTGTTGAACTATTAGTAGTCTAAGACATTAGGCCAGTGCTTCTTTATAAATCTATAAGAGGGGGAAAGGTCATTATTTTTGACTTCTAAGATCAGGTAGTTACTCCTTTACTTGGAATGACAAAGTTGGTCATATGCTGACTCATAACAATTTCCTTTAAAATTTTTGTTCCTCAGCCAAGCTGTGTTGTTAATTTTATCATGTATGTTTATTCTCACTGTGCCTCTACTTCCTGAAAGCAAAATTATAAAGTTGCAATTCCTTTAACTTGAGCAATCAGGTCGACTGACATTATTTTACCGCACTTCTTCTATTTTTAGAATAATATATAAGTGTTCCATGTGTGACACTGTGTTTACTCTGCAAACCTTGCTGTATCGCCACTTTGACCAACACATTGAAAACCAGAAGGTGTCTGTTTTCAAGTGTCCAGACTGTTCTCTTTTATATGCACAGAAGCAGCTTATGATGGACCATATCAAGGTGTGTGTGCATCTATCAACTCCTATCCTTTAAATTAATTGGTAGATACATTCATTGGTTATAGATTGAGGCTGTAAATTGTTTGAAAGCATGCACTATCGAGACTAGGCATGGATGCAAGGCATTAATTATTCAGGAGTAACCTGCAGACTTTTGTAATCAGTTGAAATATGAAATGCTGGTTTTTTTTAATATTGAGTAGTCAGCAGATGACTTGAATTTGAGTAGTCATTAGATAACCCAAATTTCAGCAAAAATAAATTATAATTCTATGAAATAACTTTTTAAAAACATAGCATTCATTTTAGTGGAAATTCCAATTCTGAATATTGTTATTGAATATTTACTGAGGAGTGACAGTGTGCTATTTCTATGTACATCATAGAAGTATGTACTGTACCTGCCTTATGGTTTCATGAACTAATAAATTTGTAGAGAAAACACTGATGTAGATGTGAGTATGTATATATATAGAAAAATGAAAATTTTTCTTGATTATTACCTAAGTTGTTAAATTCTCATTGTAGTATTATTCATCCCTTGATCTTTTTAGGTTCTTTCTTTGAAGCCTGCAAATAAACTGGCCAATAAATGACCTATTTGGACTTTTCAAAAAAGGTACAGGCATCTAAATGCACTTGGAGTTACTCAGACTTCCCCCAAAAGGCCAGTGTTTTAGTCCCAACCTTTCCAATGACCAGTCTGCCTGGCTAAGCAATCTTGTCCTTGTGTGATTAGGTGATGATACCCTTTATTGGGTGCTCAGACATGCTAAAAGCACCTTTTTTTTTCAGAAGAAAAAACAAGTGGTCCTGAATTTCCATAGAATCAAGGTCTTATCTCTTAAAAAAAATGAACTAGAACTTTTCATTTTAATTCCAGTTTGATGCTATAGTTGGAGATTGGGTAAAATTTCATAACTTCAGACAGGCCACTTTTAAAAGCAAATGAAGTCCCTGATTTATTCTAGGCTTTTGTCACTAGATGAATAGATATTTAGCCTTTGAAGCCCTCTGTTTTGAACGTGACTGAACAGTGCACATTGGAGGTAGGCAAATTATTCCACAAAACCTGTTAGCCTAGTCATACTCTTCTGAGACTTCGGTGAGTTTTTGGCTAGGGGCTGGTTCTAGCAAGGCAAAATGTGAATAAAGTGAACTAAAGATAAATTCCATATCTTCACTTTTCATTCACTAAAAAGTAAATGTTCACGGGACCATCTGCTTATGAAAAATTCTTTCACAGAAATCTTAAAGAGGAAAATAAAAACTTAATTGCTACCACATATTTGAATGTAAAATAAATGGGGGAAAATTACAGGCAAATATTTTTAAGAGGATTTTAAATGTATTTTCATTCTAGAACACATCTTTAAATCTGTACATAGGGTCATTGTTGTGGTTAAGGTCTTTGTTGCATTCATTGTGAATCTGGAGGAATGAATATGAGTTTCTAGGAAATAGAGACTGAAAGAGTGGTAAAATCCAATGAGCACAAGGAGGGAGTATATTTTAATTTGAGTTTTCACAGAGATATAGGATACAGAACAATAAGAATATTCTCTTGCCATTCTCATTTCATGTATATTCTATACTTTCATTTGGGAGAGAGGATAGAAAAAGAGATAAGATTTCAAGATAAATACATAGCTACCCTCCATTTCACTTAATTGCCACCAAAAATTTCTTTACCTGCGAGGTCCTTATGCAAAAAGAACTAATCAGGAATAGGAGAGAGGAAGTATCTCTTGCTTTCTTCATTTAAGTGTTCCAAGGTAGATCTACAAGATACATCTTTGCTAGTCCAATTTAATCCAAAATTCCATCATTGCTTTGATCTGTTCAAATGACAAGTTTTCTAACAAATTTTCGACACTTGCATCCCAGTTTTGTCACATACACTTTAAACTAACATCACATTATTAAAATTGCTGTTTTTGTAGTATCTAGGGAAAAGTAATTTTTAAATGTATTTGGTTGAAATTATACATAAAAGCAGTTGTTACTGATGAATATTTTTGTTAATGTATAAAATTGTCAGATATTGCAAAGTATAATCATTTTTCCCTCATACATGTCCTCTTCTCCCATGTCAGAATTTCTCATTTATTCTCTTCAGATATTATTATGTTATCAAGTTATAGTTTACATTACAAGAATTAGTTCTTTATTCACTATTCATATTTTGAAATTAGAATGTGTTACAGGTTTTTAGGAGCATGATTTTTTTTGTTTTCTTTTGTGTTTTAAATGATTTAAAATAAATCTTGGACTTTGAAGAAAGTTTGCATTGACTTTTGATTTTGAAAATGTATGGCTTATTATGGCCATTTAAACATAAAAGGAATAAGTCTTTCATTTTAAAAAGAACCCAGTACATAGCCTTTGGATGTTGCTTACCCATTCCTTCTCCCTCTGTTCTGCAAAGGAACATGGTATAAAACTTTAATTTAGACAATTTTCATTATCAGATCATTAGTAGTCATTTTAACTAATGAAACTCCTAGTGCTGAAAAAATTAAATAATCCCACTCACGAGGGTACAGGCAATGGGGGAAAAGTTAGGTATATCATCTATGCCTAAAGAACATTCTACAGTGGCACAAGGCTAGCTCTCATGAAAATGAATGGACATTTTCCAGTAGCATTCATTGGAATAGTTAACCTCTGAAGTTTAGGGCAGAAATTTTAAATGAGAAAACAGGAATCACATAGAACAGGAAGAGGACTTTTTTTTTTTTACTATAATGAAGAGTCTTGCTTTGGGCAGGTGCATCTTGGCATAAAAATCTTCCAAGTGTTTTGTCAGACTGTAATTAGACTTAATGCAATATCAAAAGAAGTGTCTAAAGTAGTTTACATAAATGCAAGTCTCTTATGTCAATGAAGTTAAATATATACATATATTACATAGGTGTGTTTGTCTATATAACTAATATATGTGCATAAAATTTCAATAACATAAAAGACTTGCATTTATGTTAACTGTTTTAGAGATATTATCTTAGCTTCCTTGTAAGTCTAAAGGAGTCATAGCAAACTTGGAAGATTTATATTACGAAAGGCTCCTGTTCAGTGATGGATTGTTCATTAAAACCCAAAATTGCCCTCTTCCTGTCCTTTGTACTTCTTATTTTCTTGTTTTTAACAGGTTTGAAAACAGAATAGAAAGAGGCAGCCTTGTCTCTGGAGTAAAAGCTCATTCATTTGATTCCAGGAGAATTTGAGATCATGTGCGTCAAGGCTAGGTGGAAATTTACCTTTCTACTTTCTATGAAGAAAAGGTTGATTAATGATCTATTTAGAAACCTTTTTGTATGCTTGTTATGTGCAGGGCACAGTGTTAGGAATGGTCATTTAGCTTACACAGAGGCAGCTGGTATAGAGGATTGAGTGACTTGGAATCAAAAATATTTGTTTTCATGTCCCATCTCAGACACATACTAGCTTTGTGACCCTAACCAAGTCACTTAATCTCTCTGTTAGTTCCCTGAGCATTTCTTTAAGATTTTAAGTTACTGATATTTAGCCTTCTGCATCCTTGGAAGTTTACATACCAGGAGTCTATCACACCAATGAAATCACAAGTCCAGACTAAAAAAGCCTTAATAAGAACAGCAACAAAACAAGATCAGAAAGAAAATGATTAAAAATCCAAAGAAAAGAAACCATTTTACACTGTTGAAAAAATTTTAGAGCCATCAGAATAGGTTTGGAGAAGATCCTTTTATGCCAGAAATTGAAATTAATAAAACTGGTCTTCTCCCCAATTCCACCCCTGCTAACTAGCTTGAATCATTTAGGTTTACTGTAGCTTAGTAATCTCCCCTCTCCTATTTTTAAAAGAGAATTGCCACATATGGGGGAAAGGTAGCATACCAAGATTAGATTTGGACCAGGTTTTTTTTTAATACCAAAACCATTTTTGATTATATGGAATTAAAATACTTAATTTGTAGCATCCTCTGAAGTAATCCTTTGTACCCCCTTTTTGTTGCAAATTATTTTTTTAAAGTTAAGTCTGCACATTTTAATTTCTCCTAATTTAAAGGAGTTTGTTTAGGAAAAGTAATTTATAAACTAGCAAAAAGCTGATAATAGATTAATGTATTGTTTTTTAAAAAAAGGTTTATACTTTTAGTGATATGATTTCTACATTTTTCCCCCATGTAGTCTATGCATGGAACACTGAAAAGTATTGAAGGGCCTCCAAACTTGGGAATAAACTTGCCCTTTAGCGTTAAGCCTACAACTCAAAATTCAACCAGCCATAACAAAGAAGACCCGAAATCCATCAATGGGAAAGAGAAGCTTGAAAAGAAATTGCCATCTCCTGTGAAAAAAGTAGCCGAATCCAAGAAAGTAGCCAATCCTGGATGGACCTGCTGGGAATGTGACCGCCTGTTCACTCAGAGAGATGTTTACATAACCCACATGAGGAAAGAACATGGGAAAGTAAGTAAAATGATAATATTTCTTCTACCTTTAAAATGGAAAGAATGTTGGAGCAGAAATCAGGATCCCAGAATTTGTACTACAGCTTACTAGCTGGCCCTTAGCTGTATGACCTTGGGCAAGTCACTGAAGGGGTCAGACGGGATGTGGTATGAGGTTTTTTCATTTATGATATTCTGTGAGTCCATAGACCTTTTTTATTTTTATTTTTAGCATTTAGATATCTAAACTATATTCTTCTGCCTACCTAATTTTTTTTAGCTGAGGAAGTTGAGAATAAACAGATATTCTGAGACATAGTCACAGAAAAAAATGAGAGATCATAATTTAGTTCTAGATCTTGGGATTTGTCTCTCCATCTGTACCAGGGATCAAAGAAGAAAATGAATTGATGGCCATACACAAGGGAAATACATTCATATTTTTGTTGTGTGTGTTTTTTAAGAAATAGGTACAAGGCAGCTAGGAGGTGCAGTGGATAGAGCACTGGCCCTGGAGTCAGGAGGACCTGAGTTCAAATGTGGCCTGAGACACATAATGCTTATTAGCTGTGTGACTATGGGCAAATCACTTAACCTCAAGTGTGCTGGTATCCTGTTTTATGCCTTGCTTGATAATGATACTCAGGGTCACTGAGGAAAACTGTTTTAGTTTACTCTTAAGGTACTAGAAATGCCTTCCAGCTCTAGATCAACAAATACATTATTGAATCAAATGTTTTTATATTAATATACACATAGCTGAATCTTGTATTTTCTACAACTTTCGATTAATTATGTGTTTATAAAAGTATTATCTGATATAGAAAACCATTTATGAAAGCCTTTTTATTTCCTTCGCTTATTTTCATAAAGGAAATTCTAGGCATGCATGTGCATTGTTATTTCATATCCAGCACCTTTCAGCTGTTCTTGAAGAAAGTATTCAACATAGACACTTGTGAGATGTTTGTGTACTCTTTAATGTTTTTCATTTCTTGATCCTGACCATATTTTCCAATACACTTTTTGCCATCATGTCTTGTATCCATCTTCTTCTTGTAATCCTCAAGTATCCATGCATATATTGACTTGGTTTGGAGGCTCTTGTCAAGTGATGGGGGTTTTGGGGGTGGGTTTGTTTGTTTTTTGAGTGGAGGAGGGTTAGAATATCACCCCAGTTATGATTCAGTGTGGTATAAAAAGAGAGATCAGTGGATTTAGAGTCAGAGGACCTGGGTTCAAATATATTCTGTGTTACTTATTAGCTGTTGAGGAAATCCCTTAATCTCTCAGTAATTTGAGTCAATAGACATTAATTTTCTCCTGTCAGCATAATTCTCTGCTATGCCTGAAATAGATTAAAAAAAATTAAACAAGGCCTTGCTTACTGTCTTCATAGAACTTAGAATCCAGTGACACATACGCAAGAACTATAATATAATAATAATAATAATACGAGGTTAGTATAGAAGGGGATGTACAAACAAAGTTATGCTGTATGAGACCTGAGATAGAGAAAGTGATGACTGAATGGGAGAGTGAGAGATGAATTTCTGGAAGGAGTAGCATTTGAAGTGGACTTTAAAGAGTAAGTAGAAATTCACCAGTTGAAGAGTTTCAGAGATTCTAGGTATAGGGAACAGCACAAAGTCATGGAGGAAGGAGAGTCTGGGAATAAATAAGGAAAGTGATAAGTTTCCTGGTTTGCCTGGAGTAAAGAGTGTATGGAGGACATCTATATGGAATGAGGTTAGAAAGGAATGTTTTGATGGATTATGGAGGTCCTTGAAATCCAGGCATTGTAATGTAGCTAATAGGCACTGCAGGGAGAGACAAAGATAAATAAGATATGCCTTATAGTATTCTAGGAATTTATTGATAGCAGCGTACCAAAGATGTAGAATTGTACTTGTTTAAAAAATTAAAAATGATTTTTTTAGCAGGTTGTAAAACAGAAAATAGATTTTTCAGTGAAACAAGCAGAAATTATTTTAAAATATTTTTCAGAATTAAAAACTAATTTGGAATCAGTAAGACTGTAGATATAAACAATTGATGTTGAAAGACTAACTTGAGCAATAAGTTCCTAGAATGGAATTTAATTCTTATGTAATTTATTTCTTTTATGCTTTAGCATTGATACCATGATGTGTATATTTGTGCCTACATGTATCAGTGTGTGTGCAAGTATTGAATGACAATGAAATCAAAGGGAGAAAAATGCGTGATATTATAGAATTCAGAAATCAGAATTGAAAGGTGAGACCATGCCTTCTAGAATAGTGATTTATTCTTACTGATAACTAATTTAGATCACAAGTTAAACTACACGTGTATTCTGATCTAAGAAAGAGGTTAAAAAAAACTGTTGAACAAATAAACTCAGCAGCACAAAATGTCATTGTTAGCTTAGCCATTCTGCCATGTGAGTCCAATTGAAAGATTCCATTTACCTCACCACCACCCCTCCTTCCTTTCTCCCACTGATCTGAAGTTATATGATTCCAAACTTTTTTGGGAAGATCTAATTTGACTCTGATTAAAGTAAATACCATAAATGTATTATAACAAGTTCAGAGATACTTTTAACCTATGTGCCATAAATATATAAATGGTTTCAATAATGCGATGTTGTGTGTGTTTGTGTTTGTATGTAATGGTGAATAATTTGGTCACATTCAGCTAACTATAATACAGAAGAACTTGGTAAAGGTTTTGTCTAAATCATGTAATGGCCTCAAAGAGCCATGAGATAAAGCTTTTCAAGTCAATCTTTGCATTCATCTTCTGCCTACAGATCCTAGATGCCTCATTGGTCAACATAATTATTATTAAACCTGTACAGGTATAATATAGTACATTTTCTTTCTTGTTTTGATCCCATACCAAGGTTATTAGTTTAGAAAATATGTTTTACAATAATTTCATTTTTAAAAATCTACTGTTCTTTTTCTAAGTTCAGATTTTTACATTGAACTTACTATCAACAATTTTATTTGTTGCATAGCTAAGCTACTCTGTGTATATATTTCTTGATTTCCAAACTTTTTCACTGATCCTACACCTAAATCCATTTTAAATGTTTTTCTTGCACACTTTCTCCTATAAATACTAATGCACTTTTGCATTGAACCAAGATTTTCCATTAATATTAGTAAAGATTAAACCCATTAAAAATATTTTAGTGGTATAAATTACTGGCTTTGAATTTGTTACTTTTTCAGAATTTTTTAAGTACAGCATAAAAAATGAAGAGCTATTGAAATAGCAGTGATTTTCTAAATATTAGCTTTCATTTCTCTTATACTCAGTGATTTACAAAATGACTGATGGTAACAATTTCCATGGATAGAAACTGGTATGGCCATTTTTACTGAAAGTTTTTCTGGTTTAATGGAAAGTAGTACAAGCAGAAAATAAACTGGGTTATACTGTGTGATTTTCTTTTTCTTTTCCTAGTCAAAGCTTTTATCTTAATGTTAGTTTTCTTGCTAAGGTATACATAAAGGTGTACATTTCACTAATGTGAAAATTTTCACCTGTAGAATACCAGTGCAGGTAATGACCAGTACATTTAAGGGGGGGAGTTGATATTTTGAGAACAAGGTAATTTTTGAGAGATTTTTGGGTTACTGAAAAGGTCAGAGAAAGAAAATTTTTGCACAGAACGCTGCCACAAACCAGTCAACCTTTCAGATAAAAATGCTTAAGGAGAGACACAGACTTCTAAGGACCTGAGAGAAAACTTCTCTGAGATAAATGTCTTGAGAGGGCCTGTTTGAAAACCATCCCCCTTTGATGGTTTCAGAAAAACCTGGGAAGACTTGTACAAATTGATACAAAGTGAAGTGAAGCAGAACAAACAGAACAATTTATACAATGACAACAGTATTATAATGGTAAACAACTTTGAAAGACTTAAGAACTGTGATCAGTGCAATGACCAACCACAATTCCAGAGGACTCATGATGAAGCATGCTATCCGCTTCCAGATGGAGAGCTGATAGACTTGGAGTGCAGAGTGAAAAAGTTACTTTTCTTTTTTTTTCTTTTTGACATGGCAGATGTGAGAATTTATTTTGTATGACCATATTTGTAATGAGTTTTATTTTTCTTGATTTCTCATTGAGTAGAGAAAGAGCAGGGAGAGAATTTGGAACTGAAAAAAATTCAATTTAAAAAACCTCATTCCCTTCATCATTTCTTGTAGCACAATAGTATTCTATCACATTCCTATACCATAACTTGTTTAGCCATCCCTCAGTTGATGGATAGTGCCTCTGCTTCCAATTCTTTACCAAGGCAATCAGAACTCCTATAAATATTTTGTGTACATTTAGGAACCTTTTCCTTTGCTCTCTTGGGATAGAGACCTAGCAATATCCTTAGAGTGATATTTCTGAGTCAAGGGCTATGCATAGTTTAAAAACCTTTGGGGCATAGTTCCAAATTTTTCCCCAAGATGGCCAAACCAGTTTACAGTTTAACTCTACATTACTTGTACAAATATTTTAGAAATTTGGTTGTGAACTTAAAGTGTACCCCTGTTAATGAGTTCACTGGGTAAAAAGTTATAGTCAGTTTTGTAGTTCTTTATGAAATATTGCCAAGATTGCTGTCCAAAAAATAGCATCAAATTATAATTCCATATAATAATAGAGTGCCTATTTCCCCACACTCCCAACATCATTGAATTTTTTTCATTTTCTTTTCTTTTTCTTTTTTTTGCAACATACAAGATAATGACCCAGTGACCTCAAAGTCATTTTAAACTTAATTTCTCTTATTGTTTGGAAATTTTTTCCCCAAGGCAGTCTGTACAGTTTGTGTTTCCACTTTTATAAATTATTTCTGTCCTTTGCTATCCATTGAGGATTGGACATTAACTGTTATACATTTGTATGAGTTCCTCAAAAAATCTGGATTTCAGATTTTTGCTAAATGCATTTCCTGCTAAAAATCTTAAACTTTCACTTTTTTAAATTTATTTCTGTTGTGCAGAATTTTTAAAATGCTTA